TTTAAAATTTCACCCTTGTTCTGGGAAGGTGGAGGGCTGTCTGGAGCCCGTTCCTTTGCCTTCGACTTCGCAAACAGTGTTATCTTATAACTGTTCTTGAAGTGAGCTTGCTAGGCAGAGGAAAACTGGTTCTTCTTTTCTTTTTAACCTTTGCCTTGCCCTTTACTTTTCTTGGAGTGAATGAATGCATATTTATTTTTTAAATTTCTACCTCAGTTTCCTCCCTTAGATGCTTGTTTTAAACAAGATTTTAATAGAAAGCATCACTGTTACTGGATTCTTCATGAAAGAGCAGGTTTTCTTCTTTAGGCACAGGCTGATATTCACATAGAGCTATTAGCTGAGTGGTAGTCTGCCTGGTTACAATTGCTTCTATCGTTGATTGAATGTTCTTAACAAGGAGAGGTAAGAGGCAAGGGAGTATTAAACAAAATCTTAGCATGGCTAGAACTACTCCTATTAAGGTTTTGAACCTACTGAAGGAGGAAAACCAGCCTCTAAAGAGGGACTCAGGAGCCTAGTTTTTCTAAGTGTGGACTGGAACTTGGGCTAATTTTTTCATTCTGGCAGTTATTTCTTTTTTTTTTTTTTTTTTTTTTGTGAGACGGAGTCTGGCTCTGTCGCCCAGGCTGGAGTGCAGTGGCCGGATCTCAGCTCACTGCAAGCTCCGCCTCCAGGGTTTACACCGTTCTCCTGCCTCAGCCTCCAGAGTAGCTGGGACTATAGGCGCCCGCCACCTCGCCCGGCTAGTTGTTTTTGTATTTTTTACTAGAGACGGGGTTTCACAGTGTTAGCTAGGATGGTCTCGATCTCCTGACCTCGTGATCCGCCCGTCTCGGCCTCCCAAAGTGCTGGGATTACAGGCTTGAGCCACCGCGCCCGGCCTCTGGCAGTTATTTCTATAATAGCCTTCCTATTGTCATGGATTTCTAGGCAGCAATTAGTTAGATTAAACTTTCTACATACTCCTCCTTCCTTGGCTAGGAGGTAGTCTAAAGTTAATCTATTTTGGCAGTTGGCATTTCTCATTTTCGTGGCTTGCTGGGCCGGTAAGTCGAATGCATTTGCTGTTTCATTAGTGGTGATTTCAGGTGCTGCTTGCAACTTTAGGATACGGTGAAGCGTGTAAATTGGGGTGTGGAAGGCTGCTTTCTCTTTTCACCACCCCGTCCTCCCCTGCGTCTTTTTTCCCAAACTGTCTCTGCCTCTTCCTGGAGATTCCAGCTGGGCTAGAGGCTGAGCAGCTTTGGAAACAATATTTAAGGGAATGTGAGCTTAATGCATAATGTCTTTAAAAAGCATGTTGTGATGTAAAAGAAAGAAAAATACATAATCGTTTCTGAAAGATGCCTTTGTCACATGCTATAATCAGCTCACGTCTTTTTTTTTCTGTACAAGTGTATATTCCAGTTATTTTCCTGATAACCCCAGAATTTGTTAAATTTTTTAAAAAGCAATTTCAAAATAGTTTCTGTTTGAAACTAGTTGTGTCTGGTTCAGATCAAGGTCTGCATGCTTTCCAGTCTTTATTATTTATTGGAAACCTTTGGTACCTAATACAGAAGTTTGTTTCGGTGTGTACCTGGTAAAGAGGTCAGTGACCTTTTATCTTAACATCAAAATATAGTTTAACCAGTTAGTCTATTTTTCAGTTTTCTTTGCTTATGTCATCTGTGAACATCTTGAGCTGTGAGCTATTAAGTGCATGCTTCCCTCAAGGCCCTCTGGTCCCTTCTGGACTAATGTTGAAAGATGGGCTGGATTGGCATGGAACTCTTGGGGTGGCCACACCCAACACCAGGCCACGGGGGCTACGAAGTCCAGCAGAGTCAAAGGAATGAGAAAAGACAAGTTAAGGATGCATAAGGTGGGTCCAGGGGGCCAACGCTAGTATGGAGGCTGCAAAAGACCCGACCTCTGGAAGCCCACAGTATTTATTGGTGGTCAAACAAAGAAGCAGATGGTGAGGCTGTGGGGGTTGAAAGGAAGCGATGCATCCAGCACATGATCTACAGGTGTGTGGTTTAGCATTTATATGGAACATGTTCTGCTACTTGAGATCATGGGGAACATGTTCCTCTAGTTTAAGATACAACCGTTTTATGAGCCTGGAAGTGCTAAAAGCAAGGAACCAGCAAGTCTAGGCACATTCCAGAGGCCATGAGGGGTTTTATGCCCTGAGCCCTGGATTCCATCCAAGCCACGAGGGGTTTGTGGGAAAAAGAAAGAGAGACACTGTTACTGTGTCTATGTAGAAAGCAGTAGACATAAGAAACTCCATTTTGTTGTGTAATAAGAAAAATTCTTCTGCCTTGAGATGCTGTTAATCTGTAACCCTAGCCCCAACCCTGTGCACACAGGAACATGTAGCGTATTGACTCAAGGTTTACTGGATTTAGGTCTGTGCAGGATGTGCTTTGTTAAAAATGTGTTTGCAGGCAGTATGCCTGGTAAAAATCATCACCATTCTCCAGTCTCAAATACCCAGGGACTCAATGCACTGCAGAAGGCCGCATGGACCTCTGCCGAAGAAAGCCTGGATATTGTCCAAGGTTTCTCCCCACTGAGGTAGCCTGAGATATGGCCTCATGGGAAGGGAAAGACCTGACCATTCCCCAGCCTAACACCTGTAAAGGGCCTTTGCTGAGGCAGATTAGTGAAAGAGGAAGGCATCTGTCTCCTGGTCATCCTGGGAATGGAATGTCTCGGTGTAAAACTCAATTGTCCATTCTGTTTACTGAGATGGGAGAAAACCGCCTTATGGCTGGAGGTGAGACATGCTGGCGGCAATACTACTCTTTACTGCGCTGAGATATTTATGTAAAGTCAAACATAAATTTAGCCTACGTGCACATCGAGTTACGGCACTTTCCTTAAACTTATTTATGACACAGAGATCTTTGCTCACATGTTTTCCTGCTGACCCTCTCCCCACCATTACCCTGTAGTCCTGCCACATTCCCCTCCCTGAGATAGTAGAGATAGTGAGAGATGGTAGAGATCGTGATCAATAAATACTGAGGGAACTCAGAGGCCAGGGCCCGCACAGGTCCACCTTATGCTGAGTGCCAGTCCCCTGGGCCCACTGTTCTTTCTCTATACTTTGTCTCTCTGTCTTATTTCTTTTCTCAGTGTCTCATCCCACCAGATGGGAAATACCCAGAGGTGTGGAGGGGCTGGACCCCTTTAAAGTTTTATGTCCTGGGCTTGGATTGTAATGCTTGTAATGCAGCAGGGCAGCCTCCCACCCTTTGGCACAAAGCTTGGTATTCCAAAGGCCACAAGGGGTTTTAGACCCTGGACCCCGGCATGTTCCAGGACTCTTTTTATATTATGTCAGACTAGCAAGTCCTGCCTCGGCTTTTCTCCAGCACTCAGCTTTTCCCCAACATTTAACGCTATTCTAAAAGCACCCAAATATTTTTATTTATTTATTTAGTTTTTCCAATGGAGTTTCACTCTTGTTGCTCAGGCTGGAGTGCAATGGTGCAATCTCGGCTCACTGCAACCTCCGCCTCCCGGGTTCAAGCGATTCTCCTGCCTCAGCCTCTCAACTAGCAGGGATTACAGGCATGACCTGTGGCACCCGGCCACCCATGTATTCTTGGTTGAAAAAATTTGCTTATGTCTTAGTTCTACAGCTGACCCTCTTTCACTGTTTTCAATGTCAATAGCTGTGTGTTCACACTTCTGCATTTTATTTGTTTTTTTTTTTTTGAGACGGAGTCTAGCTCTGTCGCCCAGGCTGGAGTGCAGGGGCCAGATCTCAGCTCACTGCAAGCTCCGCCTCCCGGGTTCATGCCATTCTCCTGCCTCAGCCTCCCGAGTAGCTGGGACTACAGGCGCCCACCACCTTGCCCGGCTAGTTTTTTGTATTTTTTTAGTAGAGACGGGTTTCACCGTGTTAGCCAGGATAGTCTCGATCTCTTGACCTTGTGATCCGCCCGTCTCAGCCTCCCAAAGTGCTGGGATTACAGGCTTGAGCCACCGCACCCGGCCACTTCTGCATTTTATAAATGTTACTGTGATTTTCTTGTAAGGAAAAATTAAATGTTGGGAATCAGTGGCGTCAGAACCTTGTAAAGAAGTTTCTTTGGCCCAGGCATGTGAAAGAGGCTTCTCTAATTTTCAAAGATAGGGGTGATAAAGACCAACCCTTGCCATTAGCCCTTCCAGGCCCCCATGTAAGAATTCAGGCACACGTTTTCACTCATCTCAGACCTTCTTAGGGTAACTTGGTGAAAATATCTCTTTCTCAGAGCCCCAGTGAGCCTCCCTGCAACTTGGAGATAACGGGCTAGACCAGAAAAGTTCAACCCGAGTGACCCTGGCCCCTGAAATGATTGGAAAAATAGAGTGTGTGTCTGGGTGTGGCTTTTCTTCTTAGACAGGGGAGTGACCAGTTGTAATTAGAAATTTAAATGGGATGCAGTACCCCAAATAAAAAAAAATTAGAAAAAAACCACAAAGGAATGGAAGAAACAGAGGTGTAGACTCAGACACAGAGACCATCTTCGGGGCCTTTCTCTGTGTTAGGGTATCACAGCAAAATCTAAAGCAGGTCGTGTCAGTCCCTGACAGGGAACCCTCCACCGGCTTCCCGTGTTCCCCGGGACAAAAGCCCAGCTCCTCACTGTGGCTCCACAGCCCTGTGACCAGGGCCCCTGCCAGTGTCCAGCCTCCTCCTGGGCGCTTGCCCTCCTCTCCTGACTCCCTCTGCCCCGGTCACATTTGCTTTTCTCTTTTCCCAAACATCAAAACCCTTCCTGTCTCTGGTCACTGTCCCTGCTCTTAGCCTATATCCCTAAATGATCACAGCACTGTCCCTTTTCTCCTCGTTCAGGTTTAGGCTCAGAGCTGTCTCCCATGCCCTCCCACCCCCATCTGAAGTTCCCTCTGCCCGTCAGTCTCTATCATGTTACTCAGGTTTTATTATCCCTGCGTCAATCACATCAGAAACTTTATTTTTATTTTTATTTTTTTTTGAGACAGAGTCTCTGTTGTCCAGGCTGTGAGTGCAGTCTGATGATCTTGGCTCACTGCAACCTCTCTTTCCTGTGTTCAAGTGATTCTTGTGCCTCAGCAACCCATGTAGCTGAGATTGCAGGTGTGTGCCACCACACCCAGCTAATTATTGTATTTTTGTTTTTATTTTATTTTATTTTTGTGTCTCACACTGTCACCCAGGCTGAAGTGCAGTGGCATGATCTTGGTTCAGTGCAACCGCCACCTCCTGGGTTCAAGCGATTCTCCTGCCTCTGCCTCCTGAGTAGCTGGGATTACAGACACCCACCAAGCCCAGTTACTTTTTTTTATTTTTAGTAGAGATGGGGTTTCACCATGTTGGCCAGGCTGGTCTTGAACTTCTGACCTCAAGTAATCCACCCTCCTCGGCCTTCCAGAGTGCTAGTACTACAGACATGAGCCACCGTGCCTGCTCAGTTTTTCTATTTTTAGTAGAGACAGGATATCACCATGTTGGCCAGGCTGGTCTTGAACTCCTGAGCCCAAGTGATCCTCAGGGTCTGGGCTGAGGATTGGTCAGGACTGGGTCTGTACCCTGAAGGGGAGCTCATTCCAGCCCAGCAGGAGCGTGTGTGGGCTCCTCTAGGAGAGAAGTGGGAGTTTTCCTATAGGAGTTTATTGTGGGCAGTGGGCAGTAGAGGGGACCACATTTCCTCAGGGTGAGGTCTCCTTTGTATGTTTCATTGTGTTACAGGGAGGGGGTGTGTTGATTCTGAGCAATAAACAACATGTTTCTAACATTCAGGATTGACTTCTAAACGCTCTTGATACATGAGGAAGAAACCCAGAAGAGGAAGAGGAAAGCAAAGGAGTCAGGGATGGCTCTTTCTCAGGTGAGATGATATTCTTGGTGGATTGTTCTGTCTCCTTCCCTTCAGAAATGCTGCTGGGCCTTGGAGTTGGGAATCTTCTCTGAGTCTGAAGCGTCCTGCCTGACAAGTTTGCTCGCACTCACCCATGCCTTCCCTCAGTCCCTCTCATCTCGCTTATATTTTATCTCTCGTGACCCAGTGACATGAACTTGGGAAGAGGCGGCACTGGGCATGGGCCTGGGAAGGGCTCACACCCAGACATGGATGGAGATGGGGTGAGGGTCCCGTGGTGTCAGTGCTGTTGGGCAGCAGGGATTTTTCGGGGACCACATCTGGATGCTCTGTCACCTCTCTGTGGACCAGGATTAGAGCAACTGCTGATGGAAGTCTATCGGGAACCTGGCCCCCGATATTTCAATGTGGGTTCTTTTCTATTTTCCTTAAGTGTCGGCCAGTCTGAGAAATAAAGGGAAAGAATACAAAGAGAGAAATTTTAAAGCTGTGTGTCTGGGGGACACATCACATGTCGGCAGGTTCTGTGATGCCCTCCAAGCTGCAAAACCAGCAAGTTTTTATTAGTGATTTTCAAAGGGGAGGCAGTGTACGAATAGGATGTGGGTCACAGCACATGCTTCCCAAGGTAATCAAATATTACAAGGCAAATGGAGGCAGGGCGAGATCACAGGACCAGGGTGAAGTTAAAATTGCTATTGAAGTTTCAGGCATGCATCGTCATTGATAACATCTTATCAGGAGACAGGGTTTGAGAGCAGACAACCAGTTTCACTAAAAATTTACTAGGCGGGAATTTCCTCATCCTAATAGGCCTGGGAGCACGACGGGTGACCGGGGTTTCCTTCATCCCTTATCTGCAACCATAAAAGACAGATATTCCTACAGCAGCCATTTTAGAGGCCTACCCCTAGGAACGCATTCTCTTTCTCAGAGCTGTTCCTTGCTGAGAAAAAGAATTCAGCGATATTTCTCCTATTTGCTTTTGAAAGAAGAGAAATATGGCTCTGTTCCACCCGGCTCTCAGGCATTCAGACCTAATGGTTATCTCCCTTGTTCCCTGAATATCGCTATTATCCTATTTTCTTTTCAAGGTGCCCAGATTTCGTATTGTTTAAACACACATGGTTTAGGAACAATTAGTGCGGTTAACGCAATCATCACAGGGTCCTGAGGCAACATACATCCTCAGATTATGAAGATGATGGGATTAAAGAGATTAAAGTAAAGACAGGCATAGGAAATCACAAGAATACTGACTGGGGAAGTGATAAATATCCATGAAATCTTCACAGTTTATGTTCAGAGATTGCAGTAAAGACAGTTGTAAGAAATTATAAAAGTATTAATTTGGGGAACTAATAAATGTCCATGAAATCTTCACAATTCATGTTCTACTGCCGCAGCTTCAGCGGGTCCCTCCATTCGGGATCCCTAACTTCTCGCAACAGAAGTCATGTATTAATATGCACAAAGTATGTGGTAAATTCTAGAAAAGGTGACCAATATGGAGATTGTTTCTGCCTGATTTTATACTACATTTTTAGGTAATTGAGTGAGTTACTGTGTTTCTGACTCCGAAAATCTTACTAATTAGAATGGAAAGTTCGTACATAGACATGAATGATAGAAGATGTTTTATTCCGTCATTAAGAATATGAAATCAACCTAAATAATAGCAGGAGATTCATTAAACCATTCTTAGCACGTTAAGCTCATGGAGACTGTGGTGTTACTGTGGAGAGGCTTGTGAAACAGGTGTTTTCAATAAAAATGGTGATAATTTGTATTATTATCATTATATTATGATAATATTATATTTCAAATATATGAAGTCTTGCTCTGTTGCCCAGGCTGAAGTGCAGTGGCATGACCTTGGCTCAAGGCAACCTCCATCTTCCGGGTCCAAGTGATTCTCCTGCCTCAGCCTCCCCTGTAGCTGGGATTACAGGCATGCGGCACCATGCCCAGCTAATTTTGTTGTATTTTTATTAGTGACGGGTATGACCATGTTGGCCAGGCTGGTCTCAAACTACTGACCTCAGGTGATCTGCCCACCTCAGCCTCCTGGAGGGCTGGGTTTACAGGTGCAAGCCACTGTGCCCAGCCCCAACAATATTATTAAATGTATATTTTTCTATTTAAACATCACATGGTGAATATATTTGTTTTGTGGTAAAACTCCAAACAAAGCTGCAGCTTAGACCCTTGGCCATAAGGCATCTCCTTTCCTTGTCATGTCCTCCACCCTCCTTCCAGCCTCACTGGGGAGCCGCTACCGTCAGTTCCGTGTCAGGTGTCAGAGCAAGTCTCGTACTCGTGTATTTCTGCATCGTTATGAGACTTTAGAAAAAGGTCTGCAGTAAATTAAGAAAAGAAAAATCTTTTTACAAAAATTAGCTGGGTGTGATGGCATATGCCTGTAATCCAAGCTACTCAGGAAGCTGAGGCAGGACAATCCCTTGAACCTGGGAGGTGGAGGTTGCAGTGATCTGAGATTGTGCAACTGCACTGCATCCTGGGCACAGAGCAAGACTCGCCTCAAAAAAAAGAAAAAAGTTTTTATGTTTCTGTTTTCACTTTAGGTTTGGGGCTACATGTGAAGGTTTGTTACACAGGTAAATTAGTGTCATTGGGGTTTTTTGTACAGATTATTTCATCACTCTAGTGTTAAGCCCCGTACCCAATAGTTATTTTTTATCTATTTTTTTATTTGAGACTGAGTTTTGTTCTTGTTGCCCAGGCTGGAGTATAATGGCATGATGTGAACTCGCTGCAACCTCTGCCTCCCAGGTTCAAGCGATTCTTCTGCCTCAGCCTCCCGAGAAGCTGAAATTACAGAGGCCTGCTACCATGCCTTGCTAATTTTTGTAGTTTCAGTAGAGACAGCGTTTCACCATGTTGGCCAGGCTGATCTTGAACTCCTGACAGGTGATCCACCTGCCTCGGCCTCCCAAAGTGGTGGGATAACAGGCGTGAGCCGCCGCGTCTGGCCCCCTATAATTATTTTTTCTACTCATCTCCTTCCTCCCACCCTCCACCCTCAAGTAGACCCCAGTGTCTGTTGTTTTCTTCTTTGTGTTCCAGGAAATATTTTACTTTGAGACTTGATCCTGCTGGTTGTGAACATTTACATGTTGTCTTGTTAGTAAACGTGGAGAGCTTGCTCTTTGCCATCTGCGTTGGAAATTGGCTGAATGATAAGTGGGTTCTGTGCAATTTTTCTCTGTATAAAGAGTGCCATAGTGACTGCCTCTGCGCACGCCTGCATTCCTACAGATGTCTGACGATTCCTCCAGGTCAGGCAGGTGAAAGGATGATTGCTTCCTCTAGGATGAAGCATTTCTTGTTTTCTTAGATCTGACAAGATTTTCCCTGCCCCCAACTGCCAAAGTGTCCTTTTCCAGCAAGATGAGATTCCTCTTCAGGTCAACATAACTTGCTACTTTTTATATTTTACAAGCCTTTATATATATAAACACCCACACACACAATATACACGCACGCATATACATATACATACATATACACACACACAAATGTATATATTTTGAACAACTTTTCCATTTTGAAAATCTGGGGAAAATGACAAACCTTTGTATTAACATCTAGTTTTTTGTGTGTGTAGGTTTCATTATTTTGTTGACATATATATATATATATATATATATGATATTCATTCTTTGAGTAATCTAGTTTTCATGCATTTTATTTTATTTTGAGACTGGGTCTCACTGTTGTTGCCCAGGCTGGAGCACAGTGGCGTGATCTTAGCTCACTGCAACTTCCACTGTCAGGCTCAAGCCATCCTCCTACCTCAGGCTCCCAAGTAGCTGGAACCACAGGTGCCTGCCACCGTGCCCGGCTAATATATGAAAATATATATATATAAATAATATGTAAAATATATATATATACACACACACACATATATATATATATATATATTTTTTTTTTTTTGGGATGGAGTCTCTGTTGCCCAGGCTGGATTGGCGTGATTTCAGATCATTGCAACCTCTACCTCCTGGGATCAAGCAATTCTCCTTTGTCGGCCTCCCAAGTAGCTGGGATAGCAGGCATGTGCCACTGCACCCACCCAGATATTAGTTTCTGATCTTTCACTGTGGACGTTGTCATCTCTGAAGACATCACTCATACTCTATCTCATCTAGATACTGAATGTCACTTGGTGTGTCAATAAAAGTTTCTGGGCTGGGCACAGTGGATCATGCATGTAATTCCAGCACTTTGAGAGGCTGAGGCAGGCGAATCAGGAGGTCAGGGGTTTGAGACCAACCTGGTGAATACGGTGAAAACCCATTTCTGCTAAAAATACAAAATTAACTGGTCCTGGTGGCACATGCCTGTAATTTCAGCTACTCAGGAGGCTAAGGCAGGAGAATCGCTTGATCCTGGGAGGTGGAGGTTGCAGTGAAAGGAGACTGTGCCTTTGCACTCCACCCTGGACAACAGAGTGAGACTCCACCTCAGAAAAAAAAAAAAAAAAATTTGGTAAAACACAACTGGGAAGACAAAATGTGGTGAGAAACCCCTTACTCAGATTTGCTAGAATATTCACTGCATTTAAATCCATGCTTTCACCTCTCTTTTCTTCTCATTTTCTGTAAAGATAAGAACTCCGCCCATAACCATTTGGTTAAAATGTGTTTTCCTTTCAGGGTCTGTTGACATTCAGGGATGTGGCCATAGAATTCTCTCAGGAGGAGTGGAAATGCCTGGACCCTGCTCAGAGGACTCTGTACAGGGCCGTGATGTTGGAGAATTATAGGAACCTGGTCTCCCTGGGTGAGGATAACTTCCCTCCTGGGGATGTGCCCTTGCGTATCTTTTTATTTACTCTTCTTTTTTAGCTACAGTGTCTCTCTCTGTCACCCAGGGTGGAGTGAAGTGGTGGGATCATGGTTCACTGCAGTCTTGAATTCCTGGGCTCATGTGATTGTCCACCTCAGCCTCCCCTGGTAGCTGGTACAGGCACATGCCAGCATGTCGAGCAACTTTTTTAGTTTGTTTTTTTTTCCAGACAGGGTCTTGCTGTGTTGTTGAAATTCATCTTGATCTCCTGCGCTCAAGAGATCTTCCACAGTCTCCTGAGCAACTGAGATTATAGGCGCCAACCCCCATACCTAATTATTGGCTTTTATTTTTAAAATTTTTACATATGTGTAGCCGAGCATGGTGGCTCACGCCTGGAATCCCAGCACTTTGGGAGGCTGAGGTGGGTGGATCACAAGGTCAGGAGATCGAGACCAGTTTGGCCTACACGGTGAAACCCCGCCTCTACAAAAAATATAAAAATTAGCAGGGTGTGATGGCACATGCCTATAATCCCAGCTACTCCAGAGGCTGAGGCAGGAAAATCACATAAACCTGGGAATCAGAAGTTGCAGTGAGCCAAGATCACCACTGCACTCCAGCCTGGCAACACAGCAAGACTCCGTCTCAAAAAAAAAAAAAAAAAAAAAAAAAAATTTGCATATGTGTGTCCTTAAGGCTAATATGAGTCTATGAGTCTCTTGTAGACAACATATAGTTGGTTCTTGTTGATTCAGCCAGTCTTTGCCTTCTGAGTACAGAGTTAAATACTTACAGCTGAAGTATTACTGATGGAGAAGACCTTACCTTTGTGATTTTGTTACATATTATCTGTATTTCTTGTAGGCTTTTTTTGTTCATCATTTCTCATTTCCTACTTTTTGTGTTTAATTGCTTTTTTGTGTAGCCATGCTTTGACTCCCTTATTTCCTTTTTTGTTTGTTTGTTTGTTTATGATGGAGTCTCACTCTGTCGCCAAGGCTACAGTGCAGTGGGGAGATTTTGGCTCACCACAGCCAACTCCGCCTCTTGGGCTCAAATGATTCTTGAGACCCATGCCCGTAATTCCAGAACTATGGGAGGCCAAGGCAGGCAAATCACCTGAGGTCAGGAGTTCAAAACCAGCCTGGCTAACATGGTGAAACTCTGTCTCTACTAAAAATACAAAAATTAGCTGGACACCATGGTGGGCGCCTGTAATCCTGCTACTCGAGGCTAATGCGGGAGAGTCACTTGAACCTGGGAGGTGGAGGTTGCAGTGAGCTGAGATTGCACCACTGCACTCCAGCCTGGGTGACACACGAGACTTCCTGAAAAAAAAAAAATTCATAACCTGCAGAAACTACTCTTTCTTCACTAGAATTCTTTATGTATGTCAGAATTATTTCTGTGTATGTTGCATTTTCATAAACATATGTACAATATTTTTTCATGCTTTTTTCTTCTAAATGACAGAAAAAAAGTTGATTTATGGAGAAAATGTACACTAAACTAGTTTCTGTATCAGTCCTCTTTTTTACCTATTCATGTATTTATTTATTTGTTGATGAGACGAAGTTTTGTTCTTGTCGCCCATGCTGGAGTGCAATGGCACAATCTCGGGACACTCCAACCTCCAACGCCTGGGTTCAAGTGATTCTCCTGCTCAGTGTCCTGAGTAGCTGGGATTACAGGCATGTGCCACCACGCCTGGCTAATTTCGTATTTTAATAGACACAGGGTTTCTCCTTTTTGGTCAGGCTGGTCTTGAACCCCTGCACTGTAGTGAACCACCAACCTCGGCCTTCTAAACTTCTGTGATTATAGGTGTGAACCACCACACCCGGCCTGTCTGTCTTTTTAGATACCTTTACTGGAGAACTTTATATATATTTGTGGGTTAGAATTACTCTTTAGACTTCTTTCATTTCTTTCTGTTTTCTTTCTTTTCTCTTTTTTTTTTAAGACAGAGTCTCTTTCTCTCACCCAGGCTGGAGTGCGGTGGTGCGATCCTGGCTCACTGCAACCTCTGCCTCCCAGGTTCAAGTGATTTTCCTGCTTCAGTTTCCCAAGTAGCTGGGACTACAGGCACATGCCACGGCACCCAGCTAATTTTTTTTTTTTTTTTTTTTTTTTTGGTAGAAACGTGTTTCACCCTTTTAGCCAGGATGGTCTCGATCTCCTGACCTTGTGATCCTCCTGCCTCAGCCTCCCAAAGTGCTGGGATTACAGGCATGAACCACCATGCCTGGCCAGCTTCAAAATTTTTAAAACATGTTATTGCTCTAGATGGCTTCAAGTATTGCGAGATTTATAGTACAGTCTCTAAACTTCCTTTGTTTAATCAGATCTGTCAGGCTATGGTGATGTTGGTGATGAGATGCCCCTTTTCCTGTCTCAGTCATTTCACTGACAGAAATAGCTTAGACTGGCCGGCCGAGGTGGCTCACGCCTCTATTCTCAACAGTTTGGGATGCCAAGGTGGGCAGATCACTTGAAGTCAGGAGTTTGAGACCAGTCTGGCCAACATGGTGAAACCTCAAATCTAAATACAAGAAATTGACCAGGCGCCGTGGCTCAAGCCTGTAATCCCAGCACTTTGGGAGGCTGAGAGGGGCAGATCACCTGAGTTCAGGAGTTCAAGGCCAGCCTGGCCAACAGGGTGAAACCCCGTCTCTACTAACAATACAAAAATTAGCTGGACATGGTGGTGCACGGTTGTTATCCCAAGTACTCGAGAGGCTGAGGCAGGAGAATCACTTGAACGCGGGAGGTGAAGGTTGCAGTGAACCAAGATTGCCCCACTGCGCTCCAGTCCAGGTGACAAAGTGAGACTCCGGGCTGAGGTGGGAGAATCTCTTGAGGTAGGAGAATCCTGCCACTACAGTCCAGCCTGGGTGATAGAGCTTGAATTGGTCTCCAAAACAAACAAAAAAAGAAATAGCTTAAACTGGGAGGCTTCAGACACAGACATTTATTTCTCATGAATTTGGAAAGTGGGATACCCAAGAGCAAGATGCCAGTCAAATTGGTTCCTAGTGAGAGCCTTCTTTAGGGTTTAGCCCAGCCATCTTCCTGCTGTGTCCTGACATGGGAGAAAGAGGAACAGGAAATGATCTCTTTTGTATCTCTTTTTATGAAAGCACAAATCCTATTCATGAGTAGTCAACACCCATGACCAAATTCTCTCAAAGGCCCCATCTGCAGGAACATCCTATTGGAGAATAAGAACTCTGAATGTGGCTTTTGGCCAAGAAGAACATTCACACCAGGGAGGCTGCGTCATACTGTTTATGTTTTTATTGTACAATTTGAATGATAAAATGTTTTCTCTGATCTCAGTTTAAACATTTTCCCAGTACACATTCTATGTTTTGTATTTTGTGCATAGTGAACTAGATAATTAAGGCCAACAGTGCATATGTATCTATAGAATTGCTGTATCATACCAGCTGTTTCATAAATGAGTTGTGACATCATGATTTGCCCTCTGGCAGTGGTAGTCATTTCTTTTTTTTTTTTTTTTGAGACAGAAGCCTCACTGCCATCAGGCTGGAGTGCAATGGTGCGATCTCGGCTCACTACAACCTCCACTTCCCGTGTTCAGATGATTCTCCTGCCTCAGCCTTCCAAGTGGCTGAGATTACAGGCACCCACCATATGCCCGATTAATTTTTTTGTATTTTAGTAGGTTAGGATTTCACCATGTTGGCCAGGCTACTCTCGAACTCCTGACCTCGCGGTCACCCTCAGCCTCCCAAAGTGCTGGGATTACAGACCTGAGAGGCACTGTGTGCCCTTCTGTTAGTCAATTCTTATTCCTTATAATGCTGTGGCCATACATTTTTGACATAAATCAGAAGGTAGATCTTAACATATATTTCCTTTCTTACATTGTGTGCTGGTATTAAGTAAGTTTTGTAGAGTTTTCTTAGCAGCAATTTATTAGAATTTTGCAGGTTGTATAAGTACTTATTTGCTTTCTGGTTTTATGCATTACAATATCTCTTTCAATTAATTTTTATGATTGTACATAAGGTTTTTGGTATGCGGTATGCAGTATAGCACAACACAATCCTGGTTAATGCTCACAAAGTGCCACAGAATGCTGTGGCCCCGCATTATCCAGGACTTTGGGAGGCTGAAGCAGGTAGAACACTTGGAAGTCAACAGTTTAAGGCCAGCCTGGCCAACATGTTGACCTATCTCTCTAAATAAAAATTAGCCAAGCATGGTGGTGTGTGCCTGTAATCCCGGTGCTCCAGGAGGCTGAGGCAGAGAATTAGCCCGAACCCAAAGGCAGAGGTTGCAATGGGCTGAATCAGGCCATTTAATTCAGCCAGTTGCAGACTGAGTGAAACTTAATCTCAAATATGAAAATAAAAAAATTATTTAAAATGTCACAAGTGCTTTTCTGCATGGATATAGGTAATTTTATGACAGTTCTATTCAAGCATTGTATTAACTTTTTGTCTTTTGAGATGCAGTCTCACTTTGTCACACAGGCTAAAGTACAGTGCGATCTCGCTCACTTACTACCTCTGCCTCTACAAGGTTCAAAGCGATTCTTGCAGCTCACCCTCCCAAGTAGGACTGATGGGCCACCACCTGGCTAAATTTTGTAGTCTTTTCTTATCTTCTCAGTGCTGTGATTGTTTGACAATACAGAATTTCTAAGTGATTTAGTTATCCTTACATAAACATTGTGGATTATTTACCAATATAGTATTTCGTATGATCATGGCATTTATTTCTATACAGCGATATGAAGAATATATAGTTGTCATTGATGTGACAGTATTTTTGGAAACTGTTAGACACTGTAGGGTCCTGTGGGAAAATATTCTTCGTTGTGCATTTATTGCCACTATCAGTGTTTGTCACAATATTGGAAATAGGCTTCCATAAGTAATTTGAAGCACATGTAATAGCCCATTGTTATTTGTTAAAGATCTTCCTTTTCTGTTCCTAAGCTTTGAGAAGTCATGTTTGGAAAGTTTAAAATAAGTATTGTTTTTATGTCATAGATTACACATTTCAGCATTGTTTACCATCTGTACTTAGCAGAAAATTTTGGTGTTGTATTGTGGCTCTTTCTTTGAGTAAAGCGAAGGAGTTTCATCAACAGCATGAAGGCAATGAAGTCACTCCACCTACGGACTTTGCAAAGACATGAGAAGTCATCACATTTTGGATTTTGCTTCCGATATTGATAAAGATATTCATAACGAGTTTCATTGGCAAGAAGATGAAAGAAATGGCCATGAAGCACCCATGACAAAATCAACTTGACAGGTAATTACAGACCGATATGATCATAGTCATGCTGGAAACAAGCCTAACAAAGATCAGCTTTGGAATTGAAACTCCATTCACATCTGCACAAACTGCACATATTTCACACCAAAGGAAAATTGATAATCAAGTTGAGAAGTCTATCAACGATGCTTCCTCACTTTCAACAGCCCAAAAATTTCTTGTGACCCAAAACCCATATATCTAATAACTAGAGAATGGTTTCCTGAATTCTTCATTACTCACACAAAAACAGAGGAAGTACATGAGGAGAAAAATCTTTCCATGTAATGGGAAGTGTAAAGCCTTTAATTATAGCTCCACTCTTAAGGAAACGTCAGATAATCTATTTAGGACAGAAACAATATAAATGTAGTGTGTGCTTGGCAAGTCTTTAATCAAGCAATAC